CTTTCTCCCTCTCGCTCGCTGTTACCCTCTTTCTTTCTCTTTCTGTCTCTCTGTCTCTCTGTCTCTCTGTCTCTCTGTCTCTCTGTCTCTCTGTCTCTCTGTCTCTCTGTCTCTCTGTCTCTCTGTCTCTCTGTCTCTCTCTCTGTCTGTCTCTCTGTCTCTCTGTCTCTCTGTCTCTCTGTCTCTCTGTCTCTCTGTCTCTCTCTCTCTCTCTCTCTCTCTCTCTCTTTCTCTCTCTCTCTGTCTTTCTCTCTCTACAACGAAACAAACGAAATAACAATACCTACTAGAACGATTTTTAAATTGAGTAAAGTTATGCCAAATGTTTAAATATATATTTTCTAACGTTGCGAGATCCCCGAGCGGCGATACATGGTAAATAGAAAAGGGCGGCCATTCTTCAGACGGGTAAAGTCGAGCCTCCGAGGCAAGTGCACGTTCAATACATCCCACTGTTTTGTTGAAATTATACATTTACCGCCAACCGCATACAATACAGACCAGCAATTTGTCATGAAAAATCTCTATTCCGATCTCTTATTATAATCAAAAAGTTCCCCGTCTTCACGATTTTTATCATACTGTACACACTCGCACCCACGCACGCACAACCCACGCACATTATGCATGCGTCTTGATGAAAATTTCCAACGCGGATATTTTTCCGTGAATATAATTAGTTCACGGCATATGACATCCGGGGACTTTAGCTCTCCCTCGTGATAAGCACCCTCACGTATTACCCCCACCCCCTCACGCACCTCATTCTGTTAAAACCTAACACGTGGCGGTGATTTGACAACATTTCAACTTTAAATTTTAAAGTAAACGTGAACGAAGCAGTGACGTTAAGTTGTTTCGCGAGTGAATGCGGTGCGACGCCCCGAGGTTCAATCGCCTGATGTCACCACTGTTGAATTAACACTTCGCGGTCGGTCGTTAAGCGCATTTTCAACAGGCGAGAAATTGGCCCGTAGACATCACGTCGCTTCGTCTCGCTTCGTACTCGCGCCTACTTTGCATTCATTACAATTCAACGGCCATTTTCATCACCTTCGATCGCGCGCAAAATTAGCGCCTACCCTCACACCGCTGCAGAAACGCGTTGTTAGTCACGCAACATGGCGAAATTCGATCTAATATCGATCGACGATCGATTATTCATCAATACCAGCAGACGCAGGGATTCGAGCGTACAATACGCTATCTAGCGGTATAATCGAGACGTTGACGATGGTTTGTGGCGAATGGAGAAAGGAGCAGTGAGCCTGGCGGCCCCACAAGCAGCAGATGATCAATGGAGACAGCGTTGCACGTCTGCATACGAATGAGACTTCAATGCGATTGCTCATGCCGCCGCTGTTCTTACACCAGACGGCGTCCGAATCCGTCACGGAGCTCCGACTCAAATTGTAATAAATAATAATATAAATTGGCACGTTGTCGGTCGCGAGCACGCAAAGGACGTTTCAAGGTTTCAATGCCGTTTCAAGGCGATTCCCCCCACCCCCTCAAGCTCGGCACAATCACAATACTAACAGACGACGGTGTCGGTCTCTGGTGGCGAAACGTCAAACTACTCTATTTTCTCGTTTATAGATAAGAGCAACTAGTACTGCTGCGCACGTCGGTTTATGCATCTATCTATGCATTTATCTTCCGTTGACGTTTTGAA